GCTAAATGACATGCTGTTGATTAAGATAAACACACATATGTGGTGGAGATGAGATAGGTATTAATTTTCAGTGTAATATTGACATTGTTCTGTGTCACATTGTTCACTCGTTACACTTTCGTACTCATTCAATGAATGAAGATGATTTTATAGGGATTAATGTGAGGAGCAAGCTCGTAAACAACTTGTTGTGCTAATAATTTTTATGAGCGATGTAAATTTTATCGTGTGTATTTTTGAGGTTGTGGACTGTTGATTTTGCACTTTGTTGATTTTAATGGTCAATTTGTCTGGATTCTTGTGGATTATAATCTAAAGCATTTAATTAAGTTCATATGATTCCAAAGAGTAACAAATTTGTCTAGTCGAGTTTTTAACTCTAAATCAGAGTTGCGAAACAGGCCACCTGTGACAGGTGAGAACCGTTCAATTCCTTGATAATTTGTATGGTTTTGTTAGAAAAACCTTATAAATTATCCAGGAATTGTAGGGTTCTCACCTGTCACAGGTGCCTGTTTCGCAACTCTGCTCTAAATTTTTGTCAATATCCAAATACCTTACCAAACTGCATTTGTGATTACTTTGGACTGTATACACTTCTATTGTTTAGCGCAACTCTGTTCCTTTCAACCTTCTAATTGTAGAAAAGTGTCAAAACATTTCTCAAAACTTTAATCACTTTCACGTTCCCAAAAAAAGCGCTTATAAGCAATCAAACATCCAATAAAATCAAACCACAGTGTAAAAGGTCCAACCACAACGATTGACAATAATGATAAGTCAACCACTGATGCATAAAACTGATCGTTAATTATTTATAGTGTTTTTAAAATAGTCAAATATTTTTACAGCATCAAGGTCTTTTATAAATAGCACTAGACGAGAGAACATTGTAAATATAATTCTTATGTACTTAATATCTCTTCTCAATTGTTTGTTCAATCCTTGTATCAACCATAGAGTAAAAATATTGGAACTGGAAATTATAGAAGAGAACTTGATCGGTATTACGTCCTTTACAGCACCGATACTTCTAAATGACAATAGTCTATGAATTTAATGATATTTATTATTGAAGATACATACTTGATGATAGAAATACTTCCAAGATGTTAAGGATAATGACAAATATTTGCCAATAAAAAAGTCAACAAGCTCTTGAGTAGAAAAAAATAAATATGAAGATATCATGAATAATCACACTTGATGTTAAGATTGTTATACATAGGCAGGCAATCGATATGATATTATTTTCCTTGAAGACGCAAACACGCGCCGTACTTACTCATTCATTCATTCATTCAGTCAATATCTCATCTTATCTTCTTACAAATGCTCATTTTACAATTCAATTCAGGCTTCTCTTTATCTGTAGTTAAATAGATGATGATGATGAAGTCTGAGACGACAAAGATGACTGTTTGAGTAGTAATTCTACAACCACTTTAATACATATCTATTTAAGTTAATTTAGAAAGATGTAGAGATGAGGTAGAAAGGAAAGGAAAGATTTTCTTATGATGATCCACATTCGTGTAGCATTCATGAATGGAAAAATCATCTTAGATTAATTTTTTGGATTTTTTCATTTTACTTTTATTTAAGAAAATAAAGCTACAGGGTTTCTTTTAGCATTGATTATCAATGAAAGATTAAAAATTTGGTACATGTCTGAGATGAGTCGTTGAGAGAACATGTGCCACATACAGCAATAGATTATCCGTTTTACAAATGTGCCTCATTATTAATATTTGGTGCTTATGAAACAAAATGCAAAGCTTAATCAAGTTAAATCATCAAAAATGTATTGATCTATATCAATTCAAGTCGCAATTCGAAAAAATCTAGACATCTTCTAGTATTATTGATCTAAAATGACTAGATACGTCGACTTCCAAGAACACTTATGTACATCTTGATTTTATCAAGTTTCTCAAGCAACTTCTTCTGAGAATTTCAAAAAAGGTGTTAAATAATGCTCATACAGGTAGGTTCTTATGAAAAATAGTCACGCTTTAATGTCAACAAATCTTTAACCAAATTAAAGTTTGCTTCTTATGCGCTGCTTTTGAAAAGTCTTGAAATTGCTAAGTATGTCTTTGGAGTCGTTCGTAAATGATGTAAACCAGCATTTAACTGCCTTACTCTCTGTGATATTGTTAATGTGGGAACTTAGAGTATGACGATTTGAACAAAATATGTTTTCCTTCTTTTGAGAGTAGGATGTAATTTCCAAACATCCCCTTTCCCTATAAAGATACAAAGTTCAACGTCCATATACTGTTAACATGTTGTCAAAATGTTTATGGGAAAAGGAGACAAAAAGTTTTAGTTCTTCAATAAGATTATGTTGTGAAAATCTCTAGAACGTAGGGAAGATGACTTTTACTTTTCAAGAGAGAAATTTTAATACTGACATAGATATAAGGAAATAGAAATGTTTATCTTTTTGCATGACAGCTCTTTAAATGGCTTACATTGCTACAATGTTAAAGAATTTCTTTTTTCGCCAAACACCGACGTAATTAATATTCCGTAGTTCTATAAATAGATAAATAATAAAGTTTCGAGACGTGTAGGAAATACAATCGATCTTAGTAATGTTTACATATGAAATGTTTTCATGACAGAAGTTATCTCAACTATTTATCCCTCAAAGATATCATGATTCCATTTCCTATTCATTCATTTTTATTTCGGGATATTCGCTTGGAATGTCGACGTACTTTTGACGAGTGTTGGATGTAAAAGTAGGCAAATTGTTTGCATTACGTAATTAATAAACGACTCCCAAACATGTGAACGAAATGTTTCTGTAGAATTTTCTTTCTATTTAAGAGATTGATTATATTCATAAGAAAATAAGGCCGAAGAGAATCTTGCAAGATTTTTCGCAACAAAAAGGAAGTTCTTCTACTTTAATGTAGATTTAAATGGAAGTTTAATGTACTAATTATCATAATGTTGTGGAATTTGACCTTCAACGTTTTCGTCCGTACTGCATCTTAGATTATGATTAAGTGAAATGTTTATGAGGGAAATTTTGCAATCTTTTTAAAGCACAAAATTAGCTTTTCTGAGATTTTGCACCTTTAATAAAAAAGAAAACAAAAATCACTTTGTAGACTTAAATTAAGGAAGTTCCTGTGCTAAGCTTATTATAGCTGACGAATGTCATCAAAAATTCAATAAAATTCGCTCATGCTGAACTTTTCTTTGTTGTCAAATTAAGGCTAAGTAGGTAATATATTTGTCAAGTGTTTAAGGATTTAAGTCCTTTCATATCAAGGAGATTTTGATGATTATCAATTCAAATCTATTCATGCATTATATCGCAATTGAATGAAGAATCTACAAACAATTTCAGACTTGATTTATTTGTCAGGAACTTCTAAAGCAATAATTTTAAGTTTATATCAATTCAAAATTCTAAAGAAACAGTTTCCGGCTCAAAGGTTTTTTGACAAACAATTTAAGGATCATTTGTCCAAAATTTAAATACAGTCAATAATCAGATTATAAATCTATTGTAAGGAAATTCCCATTCACAAAAAAAATTGACGAATGAACAAAATCTTCAAATGATTTTCCTTCAAAAAGGAGTTTATGAGATTATGTGTGATTCCTACAACTCATGCTTAATCGCAATGCATTATAATCATATAAAATGACAGTAAATGATTATAATGTCGACATAAGTGAGATGAAGTGGTATTTAACATCAGGAGCATCTAACGTATAGAAAGAAGAGATTTTATAAAATATTAATATAATCTCATCGTGAAAAATAATTTTTGTGATTTTATGATGTTGAAACAAGCAAAACGCAAACGACTTGATTCTATTTGAATGTGTTAAACAGATTTAAATTTTATGCGACATGAATTTATGTTCGAGACAAGATGTTGAAAAGAAGCGTGAATGTGAAGGAATTGTTTATAAATATTTCAAATATTAAAGGCATGCGGATTCTCGAGCAAACTTTCTTTTTCATTTCTATTTACAGAAAAGAATTTTTTACTCATAAAGATTGTTATTATTCCATTATTCCTTCATCACAGTGCTACGTATAAATTAATGATGATATTTAATAATTATATTTTCTCATCCCACTGTCTTATAGGCGTTCTGCTGCTCGAATCAAGTATGTATGGGAAGCATTATGTTTGGGAATGTTACTTCTACGGATTCAAGACATCCTGAGATCGTAATGGAACATTCTAAGGATTTTATTAGTCAGTATTACACGTCAATAAGAAGGTAAGTTTAATTTACATACTGTGAACTTTGTAATGTCATTTTTGTAGCTAAGGATGGATTCTTAGTTGATTTTGACTTGTAAAAATGTTATTTGAATTTAAACATATAGAAGTGCTTCAAATTATTCCAAATTGTAACTTAGATTGAAGTTTTTGTGTCGAATTTGTCAAAAAAAAAGCTAGACTAAGTTTAACTTAATCAATCTAGTTAGAAAACTTAAATCCTTAACCACAAGAAAAATGTTCATCACTTGAACTTTACTCAATTTCCAAAGTCAATGAAAATAATGAAACCGATAGTTCATGAATTTAACATTGGTTAATCCAATTTTAGTAACTAGAGCACAAAGTTTTAACCATCTTATGACACTTCTTGTGAATTACATTTTATGACTTTTCAAACTTTCTTGTTATGTGCTTCATTTTTTTCTGCATAATTTATTCATCAAGCAACGATTCTGAATAAGAAATTATGTTCAATAAAAATGTAAAAAAAGAGTGGGTGTCGCAGAAAAGAAGCGGGAATATCCAGTCATAAGTGCTTCCTTTGAGGCAGACGAAACGAATGGAATAAAAAAATATAATGTCAGATGTTTCATTCATGAAAGCTAAAAATATTAAAGTAAGATAGCAAAGGAAGATGATATTGAGTGGCGGTCTCACTACTGGCAACAAACAAAACACTGAATCATTACTTCCATGAAGACACAAGAAAATTATCTTAGTAAAAAAAAAACTTTTAAAAAATCACGTTTTTATTTTTAACTTAGAAAGTTCCTCATATCTTCAAGCTCATTTGGATGTAGTTTTTTGTTTCAGTTCCTAAAAAGTTCCAATTCTCGCTTTTACTGGCTAGTTCTTCGTAACTGTAATAAAAATCAGAAATATATTAATAAACAATAAGAAGAAGAAAAAAAAAACTTAAACCTGATTGAAAGGTCACAAAAATGTCCAGCTTTTACTGCTGCTTTCTGAGCAGCAACTGAAGAAAAACCAGTTGATGTGAGCTTAAGATTCAAAAAATGTAGTATTGAAGTTCTTGCTTTAATCATTTCAGTTGCTATACCTAAAAAAAATGATAATGACTTTGATTAAAGCCGTCGTTGATAAATTTCGGTCTAGTTGCTAAGAAAAATTTATGTTATCTATTCAAAATTAATTACCTTTCCCTCTATATTGAGGATCAATTGCCAATCCGGTTCCTGATAAGTAGTAATCAACCATATGACGATTAAATAAATCAGCTTTATCTTCTATGTAATTGATCGCTTCCATTATGTCAATAGAAGTCTTTGACTGCGGCTATAAAATTTAATTTATTGTTTTCACAAATTTTTCTTAAAAAATAATTTGTCATTCTTACTTTAAAACTTATATTTGAATCATTACGTCCTTGTACTTCAAGTATATTTACGGCTATAAAATCCTCAGATCCTGTTTTAATGCAAGCTACAGAAACCTTCTGCTTAATTCCATACATGTATCTTTTGTAATAATCTTCAGCCACAGCAATATCATCCTTTGCATCCCGAGAAACCAGTTTTGGTTCGTAGGGTATGAAATGTGTTATCATAAATTTACAGGCTTCATCGTATCGACCTTCTGGTATATCAATAATACTATATTCCACTAGTTCATCTCCTCTATTAATATCAGCAGCAAGAAACTTTGAATAAATTTTAGGAAATTCAAGATTTTCAGGTCGTTTCCAGAACCTTGTTGCCATTTCAAACCAAAGAAATAACTAAATAATTTTTCGTGTATACTTGCTTTGAATCCACTTTCAGCAAAACTGATAAGCTTATAAATAAAAATTTAAAAAGTATATACGCAATTTAAATCACTTAAAAGATTAAGTATAGATAGAAATAAACAATATTTAACACAATAAATTTGTATGTATTGGATATTTCATACACAAATAAAATATTACTTAAAATCAGTTAATCGCGGATATGCAAATAATATCAAGTCATAGGGAGTAGAAAGGGTTGTGGATTATTTAAAAATATAAGAGCCAGACGAAATATCGATTGCAAAATTTGACTTTGAAAGAGAGTTAAGCTGACAAGCTAGGAAGTTAAAAAGAAAGATAAAAGAAAAGGAAGTAATAATAATAATAACAATGGAAAATTAAGAAAAGCAATTGCGGAGAAACATGAAAAATTAAGTTTAATGCTTTATTTATTAGATTAGTTATTAAAAAAAGAGAGAGTCAAAGAAATGCGACGAATTCATATCTCTGTGATTCGTCTTTCTGATTATCATGTTTTGTAGGGAAAAGAAAGTTTAAATTTAACTTTTTGGATTATTTTAATTTATTTTTGTTTTAAAAATTTTTAATTTAAATTTGCCTATTCAAATTAATGCTTCTTATGCATCTTATTTAAAATCTTGAAATTCGTTACGCCGTTTAATTCCTCAATCTTTTTAAAGATTCGATTCCCCAGCCCATCAATCACGATGGAATCAAATCGAAAAGGAAATTCAGGAGTCGGGAGCATATCAATTGAGTGATTCAGAATTAATATTTGGAGCAAAGACTGCATGGAGGAACTCAGCGCGATGCATTGGCAGAATCCAATGGTCAAAATTACAGGTGAGATGGAAGTTACATTTTTCAATTTAAAAATCAATTTCCTTTTTGATGAGATATAATATATGAGAGGAACTGACATATGATATAGATGAGCAAGATAGTATCCAATTACATTTTAAATGATACAGCAAATTATGAGTTTATCAGAATTAATTTAAAGAATTTATTGGATGAACTTTGGAGTTCATGGAGTTGCTATAAATATTTCATTTTCAGATGAATTTTTCTGATTATGGAACAGTCTCATAAAACTCTAGACAAAAGGAAGATGTCAAAAATAGTTTCGTGGTATTCTCCTTAAGTAGAAAAATCAGTAATCTTACCTTTAACTGTATAAATCCATAAATATTTCACTTAAAACTTTTTAAAATTCCATCAAAAATTAAAAATGCAAAAGAAATCCGTCGACAATACGTAAACCAAGTTATCGTAACATGAGTGGAAAACTTTTTCCACTCAATCAACTCTAATTTGATTGAATTAAAACAATTGAAGCAAGTCAGCTGAATCCTTTCAAAACTTCCTCCTATTTGCTGTAAACATATTTTTTTGTAGTAAAGTGCGCTAAAATTTATTAAAAAGTTTTCAAGAAGTGAAGAAATTTTTGATTGATGTGTGCAGAAAGTTATACCTTGTTAAACGTCTCGCCTGACATTTTAACATGCATAAATTATTTGTGTAGATTTATCCATCCATTCATCAATCCTGATTGTTAATCTCTGAAGCTTAATTTGTAAAATATTCGGCGAGAAATTCTTCGCCTTATGTTTATGGGAGCCGTTTAGAAATGATGTGTAATGTTTTATGGCTGATGCGGGTCTTGATTTTTTAGCAGTAAGAGAATTGATCAGAGTCCCAAAAATCACTTCGACACTTTATGAAGAAGAAGGAAGAATTAAAAACTTAATTTTTGAAAGACATCATTTCTTCACGGCTCCCACAAGCGATAAAAGAGAATTAAATCTGTTATAGGAATTTCAGATTGTGTTTTATTGATTTTTCCCATCTTCCTTCCTCCTATTATGTTCAACAGGTTTTTGATTGCCGTCAACTTTCCACGCCATCACAAATGTTTGAAGCTTTGTGTAATCACATAAAATATAGTACGAATAAAGGCAATTTAAGGTAGGATATTAAAGCACGAGATGCTATTTGAATATTTAAATGCAATTTAAGAGAAAATTTCCTTTTCGTGCCTGCATATTTTTATTTTCGCACACAATATTGCCTCGTGTATTGAATTATATTAATCACATTATGATTCAATACATCATCAATCATTCAAACCTTAGATGTAAAGTGAAAATGTAAATTGAAACTTAATTTTGAATTCTATTCATCAGGTCGGCAATTACAATATTCCCCCAAAGAACTGATGGAAAGCATGATTTCCGTATATGGAATTCTCAGGTTCACAATATTTAAATGAAAAATCATACAATTTATGTATACAATTTAACGTTTTATTGATGACAATTTATCTCTCCTTCTTACTTCCATTTCCTTATTCAATACGTGTATAATATTTAGTTGATATCATATGCTGGATATAAAAATATAGATGGATCTATTACAGGTGATCCAATAAATATTGAGATTACTGAAGTAAGAAATGAAATGGAGTTCTTATGTTCAGTACAAAATTAATGATTTTTCATTCTAACAGGTATGCATGAAATTGGGTTGGAAGGGTCCGAGAGGAGAATTTGACATTTTACCATTAGTCTTGTCAACAAATGGACATGAGTAATAATAAACATCTGACGAATCAAAAAATGTTTTGGCTCTAAAATTTCTCTTTATTTTAGTCCAGAAATGTTCGTTTACCCACCCGACCTGATCGTTGAAGTTCCACTTACTCACCCAAAGTAATTATACTGTATTTTTTTTTTCCTTTCAACAACATTAATCAAAGAATTTTTCTAATTTAATTTATAATAGGTACAAATGGTTTGAAGACATGAATCTGAAGTGGTATGCAGGTAGGAATTCTTTTCCATTTGCATTTCCATTGTCATCTTATTCACTGTGATGATAAATATTGTTTATTTCATGAACTGAATGAAACATAAAAACATCCGTAGTTCCCGGTGAGTAATTAAAATATTGTATCTGATTTCTAGCAAATTTTTGCTTGGGATTGGTTTGTCTATTATAAACTCTGATCTAGAGTTAAGTATGGGCATTTGAATATTGTCCTAACATAGTTAAACTCAGTAAAGCTTACATTTGCTTTTAGAAATGTTTGACAACTGAAGGTTCGTCGGTAAACTCTAAACTTTAGGATTAACCTTTAATTAAGATTTTCCATGTGTAGAGCTAAAGTTATAATGTTGGACTTAGGGTATTTTGTAATTTTAACCATCAAAATGCGCCAAAGCTTTAAAAATCCTCAAAAAAGTTTTCAATATCCACCACCATGTAAATTCATTCAAGTCCATAAAAATGAAAAGTTATTGTATGAAAAATGTAATTCATTTTTATCTCTATGCCTTCTACATAGCTGTTTCAAGTATGCTCTTTGACTGTGGAGGACTTGTTTTTCCAGCATGTGCATTTTCCGGTTGGTAAGTTAAAAGAAATGAAAAAAAAAATTGATTGTGATTTTCCGATATTAGAAAAGGAATTCAAGTTATTTTTTCTCCTGTCTGTTATAATAGGTACATGTCAACTGGTATGTAATTAAAGATCTTTTTTGTTCAAGTCAAGCAATTCATTTTTTTACTTCATTCTTCGCATTAGAAATTGCATGCCGTGATTTATGTGACAGTAATAGAAGAAATCTAATTGAGGTTTGTATTTGATGAGTTTTTAATGAGAATTTCAATCAATTCCTTCTTAAAACTTTGCACAAAAAAAATTCTATTCAGACGTTTGCAATCAAAATGGGTTTGGATGTACGAAATCCGAGTTCATTATGGAAAGATAGAGCACTTGTGGAAGTTAATATTGCAGTTCTACACTCATATCAGAAGCACAATATTACCATTGTCGATCATCATACAGCCAGTGAGAGTTTTATGAAACATTATGAGAATGAATGTAAAGTACGTGGTGGATGTCCAGCAGATTGGGTTTGGATTGTGCCGTAAGTTGTATTTCGATGTAGTTGCAATCTGTTGTCTACTGATACTGCTTATATTTTTCGAAAGTGTGCTTATTTTTTTTTATATTTCGAATATTTGTAAGCACTGACTGTAAACTAAGATTCTTTTCTTTCCAAATTAAATCATTTTATAACTTTACCAGATAGATTTCATGTCTATGGATATGTTTTTGCCACATTTTAACATTACATTTTTCAACTAGTAAGACTTTAGACTGTTAAATAAGCTTTAAATTTGAAAAATAAATTTTCAAGTGAAGAATTAAAAATGGCGCAATTTTTTTTATAAAATTCAAAAACTTGTTCACCAACGGATTTTATTGAATTAAAGACATGAAAAATTAATTGATATTCACTTCCATCACATAACAGGCCCATGTCAGGATCTATAATGCAAGTTTTTCATCAAGAAATGGCAACATATTATCTTCGGCCATCCTTTGAGTATCAGGAATCAGCAAGTATGTTAACATCTCATTCATCTAGTTGATGGATAGATTTATTAATAAATTTGCAACACAAAAATTCTTGTTAATAGTGAAAACACATGTCTGGGAGAAGGAGAGGGAATCTTCTGAGAACAGAAAGCCACGAAGGAAATTCCATTTCAAGCAGATTGCAAGGTGATTTTCTATTATTTTCTATGGGGTCATTCAATAATGATGTCTGTCTGAAAATGGGTTTGTTAAACATCCAAAACTATATAATAATGCTCAGGATGCTCAAGAACTTAAGAGGCAGAATAGACAAAACTTATACTGGACATCGTACATGAATGACTCCATAAACTACATTTGCATAAACATTATGTTCGTATTTTATTTTGGTATTCCAAGACCGAAAAGAAGAGCAAATAAACTTTTTCTTAGAGCAACAAAAAAAAAGATGTTCAGTTCCAAGACTAGTAACACAATCATTGTAAAATAATTTACATAAATTTTTCCACTCAATTTTTTTATGTTCAGCTCGAGGCAAATTGATATATTTATTATTATATTGGTTTTATAAATGGAACATTATCCTCGATTCTTATTTAGTGATTTCAGTAAAAAGATACGAACACCACAAAAAAGGAAGCATCTCTCATGAATAGTTTTACGTATACTCTTAAAGTTTTGAATTTATCTGATTTTCATGCTCAATTTAAAATTTGCTTGGCGATAAAAAAAAACTTTTTGTTTGACTTTTTTCAGAGCTGTGAAGTTCACAAGTAAATTATTTGGCCGTGCATTAAGTAGAAGAATTAAGGCAACAGTATTATATGCAACAGAGACTGGAAAATCGGAAGAGTATGCAAAGCAACTAGTTGAAATGCTTAGTCATGCTTTTAATGCACAAGTAAGATAAATTTCAGATTTTTGTTACACAAAATTAACGTCTGGACTCAAAAAATGCTTAGATTTTCAATATGGCAGAGTATGACATAAGTTCAATAGAGCACGAAGCCTTATTATTAATTGTCGCATCAACATTTGGCAATGGAGATCCACCCGAGAATGGAGAGCAATTTGCAGAAGGTCTTTATTCAATGAAGCTCCACGATGGCGAATCGGAAGTTAACAATTCAAAGTAAGTCGATTTTTCAATTTTCCCTTTTAAATTTTTAATTCCGCTTTAAATTTTTCATCGACATACAGCATTGCCACATCATCAAAATCATTCATTAAAGTCAACTCACGAACAGATCGAAAAAAGAGTGCACCGAAAATCGACAGATTGGATTCATTGCGCGGTTCATGTTCTGACTCTCTATTTAACGAGACATTTGGTCCTTTAAGCAACGTGAGGTTCGTAGAACATCGAATAACTTTATGTGTTTTGTTGTGCTGCAAAAAAAGAAAGTTTTCAGTGTAAATCTTTTATGATTTTTTTTGGGGCAATGACTGAATAAAATGTTTCTTTTTCATCCTACATTATGCTTCTTTTGGATGTACAAACATCCATCAAAGTTTTAATGAATAAATAACTTTTGAGAATTCGCTGTATAATTTGGTGCTGAAAACTTTCATAGTACGTGTTTTTATTTGTGGAACCTCTTCTTTGCCTTTTGGCTTAGTGATCTGAATCATCTTTTTGAAGCTTTGTAAATATTAATGATAATGGCAAAATTAACTTTAATTGCTTAGTAATACTAACTTCCTAAACGACAGGCAATTTATGCTGCTTCATAAAGACCATTCAGAACCATATTATGCAGCTATAGCTGTATCGTTCATGATAAGAGCGATAAACTAATTGTTTGCTAATTAGATTTGCAGTATTCGCTCTTGGATCATCGGCATATCCAAACTTCTGTTCGTTTGGGAAATTCGTAGATAACTTATTGGGTGAATTGGGTGGAGAAAGGCTAATGAAAATTGTTCTCGGAGATGATTTGTGTGGACAAGAGCATGAATTCCGAAACTGGGCATGTAATGTTTTTAAAAAGTCATGTGAAGCTTTTTGTCTTGAATCAAATGAAATATCTGAGGCATCAATGAGCTTAAAGGGAGTATCATTTACCAAAGAAAATACGCGATTTCAAGTTGTTAAGGATTCAAATATGGATTTAAATATTCTGTTGAGTAAATACCACAACAAAAAGGTTCATTCATGTAAAGTAAAGAGCAAACCGACAAATTTACATTGTTTGGCTGAGAAGAATACAATTCTTGTGGAAATTTCTATAGATGGTGTAAGTAATAATGAAAATGTAGCATGAATGGATGTTTTTCATATTTTTTCGTACCTCAATAGCTGTTAAATTACAAGCCTGGCGACCATGTAGGTGTTTTCCCTAAAAATCGTACAGAACTCGTTGATGGAATTCTTGAAAGACTTACAGGAGTCACAAACTTTGATGAACCATTGCAGTTACAAGTTCTCAATGAACAACAAACAATACATGGTAAAAGCACGTAAAATCTTTACTCTTAGTTTCTAATCGAGCATATTTATTCGAATCTGATATCAGGTCCTGTAAAGACATGGGTTAATCATGTAAAAATTCCAGTATGTTCACTAAGAACATTATTGACACGCTTCCTTGACATTACAAGTGCACCGTCAAGACAATTTTTGACTTTCTTATCAACCTACTGTGAAGATGAAAACGACAAGCTAAGAATGAAAATTTTAGCAACAGAATCAGCTGCTTACGAAGATTGGCGTCACAACAAATTACCACATTTATTGGAAGTATTTGATGAATTTGTGTCTTGTAGACCTCCAGCCTCGCTCTTCATCGCACATTTAATGGCACTTCAGCCAAGATTTTATTCAATTTCATCATCACAGAGAAAATATCCTCATGAAGTTCACTTGACGGTTGCCGTCGTCAAATATAAAACAAATGGTAATAGGGGTTATTCGTAAATGATGTCCATAGATCATCTACAAACCAGAAGTGAAAATTTTTTTGATCATTTTGCTTACAACGACTGGCATTTAGAGAAGATAGAATTGCAAAAAAATCCAGATTTTCAATGGACGTCATTTTCGAATTCCTCCTTTTAAGGTTGAACTTGAAATTGATAGACATAAGAAACTCAATTGAATTTCATTCACAGATGGAAAGGCATCAGAACGTTATGGCGTTTGTTCAAATTATTTGGAAAGTCTTGATAAGGATGATGAAGTGGAAATATTTATACGAAGTGCTCCTGCTTTCCACATGCCGAAAGATGTATCACAGCCAATAATATTAATAGGACCAGGTCCGTCGATTTTTCATTTTAAAAAGTTTAAATTGAATTTTATTCCTTTTTCTTTATAACAATGGAACTCAAATATAGGCACGGGAACAGCACCGTTTAGGAGCTTTTGGCAAGAACTTGATGAAATTAAATTGCAAAACTTGTCACTGAATGTTCCAAAAGTTTGGCTATTCTTCGGTTGTCGTACAAAATCACTTGATTTGTATAGTGACGAAAAGCGTGAAATGGTTGAGAATGGCATTTTGAATAAAGTATTTTTGGCATTGTCACGAGAGCCAGGCATACCGAAAGTAAGTTTTTCTTCTTAACAGCTAACTGCTTATAAGAAATAATTTCATTTTTATCACAACTTATTAGACTTACGTTCAGAATCTCATGATGAAAGAGCATGGAGAAATTTATAATTTAATTAAGAACCAAAATGCCCACGTGTATGTTTGTGGTGATGTTCAAATGGCTGAGAATGTATACCAGACATTGAGGTGAATATAATTTTGATAAAAATATAATGAATAAATTAAGATTAATGCTGTGAAGTGAACATAAAAAGTTGAAAACTGATTAAAATGTAAATTAAAAATTATTCTGTACAGAAAAATAATTGCAAGCTTTGAAGGACAGACGGAAACGGTTGCTGACAAATACATGCTGCAATTAAGGGTAAAAAAATAAGTTGTTGAACTTTTTTTTATAAATTATGCTAAAAGTAAATTTAAATTCTAAGTGCTCTCGATTAATATTTTGAATGTAGTAAAACTTTCAGCTATGCAGAAATGACATTTAAGGAATATATACAAATACTTGGTAGATTCTCATTTATTAAATTACTTTGTCCAAATTGATTTGATTAGCTTAAGATCAGTTTGTGAACATAGATTTACGTCCAAAATTCCATCGAGAGTAGTTACTATAACTTCTATAAATTTGTATCTCAATCGTTTTCTATTTCCATCTCTCTTAACCAACATCTTTACAACTATTAAGGATGAAAATCGTTATCATGAAGATATTTTCGGAATAACACTGAGAACAGCAGAAATTCATAATAAATCAAGACAAACAGCAAAAATCAAAATGGAATCGAGGTATGAGTGAAGCGCAACATTTGGTTGAGCATCGTAAGATATTGGAAATCTGTGGAAGAAGTTTGATGGTGGTTACATGGTAAAAGACACCGAATTATTATAAAAATATAGATATTGATACATTTTAACAAGAAGATAACTCCTCTTTACGACTTAATTTATCCTATTCTTCAATATAAAGTTCCATTCAAATATTCCTTGACATTTAAAAAAGGTACAGACTTAAAATATTCACAAAAACTAAAGTTTATTAGACCTAAAGTTATCTTAATTGAGAATAGATAAGAACTCTATAAAATTTAATTCTTTTAACAGCTCTTTAAGCTTCATACTGAACATAATAAAGAATAGAAGGAGAATGCAAGTAAAAACAAATGATAATGAGCTGGATAATTTAAATTACTAATGTTTCCATTTAAAAAAAAAACTAAATGTTATTTTTGAATGATTTGAGTTTGAATCTTGAATTTTCAAGATGAGAATTTGCACCAACGTTTAAGTTTGATTTAAATACTCATAAAAAATTCACATCTTGGAAATTTTGAGGTCAGCAAATCTTTATCTAGATAATTATACAAACAAATTTATCAAAATTGTTAAATACATATTCTCAGAATGGTCTTGTTAAATATCATGAGATAAACTTCAATACTTAAATAAGTGTCAAATCATAATAATTAAAATTCTGTATTTTCTTGTTCAATCACAACAACAATTTATTGAAAATTCAACCAGGTACTTAAAGTAAATATCAAAATCAAAAAGAATATCAAATGAAAATATTACGACTTGAACTTATCACACCAAACTTATCAAACCTTATCAAATTTATCTAAACTATTATAACTTGAAATAATGTTCTCAATAATAATAAAACCGAAAATCATTTCGGGGTCATTCTGGTACGACGTCTGTCAGTAAAATTAGATGTGTGAATTTAGTATGTAATTCAGCTAAGAAATCTTCTTTAATATGAACTTAGAGTTTACTCAAGAAATTGATTTTAAATGTTTTATCACAAAAGTCATAATTTATGATCCTAAATGTGCAATGTTCCCCAAAATCTATCGAATTATCATTATTTTCTCATTTTAAAAATTTTAACTGCAAGACGTCCTAGTTGAATGACACCTTAACAGCATTTTGATAACAAGCTGCCATTCACATAGTTAAATAGACAGTTTACAAACTATTCATTAATAATTTTAAATTCATAATGTGTTTCAAAATAATTCACAATAAAATAATTGCATTAACTAACGGCATTTAAGCTAGTAGTTTTTATTGTCATTACTGAAGATGTTTCATTTTCAGTATTAATCTTTAAGCAATCAGATTATCTCCAATGAAAAAAAAAAAAATTTTAAAATCAATTGTCGATATTTAAAAAGTTGGTCAGCAAATCCGATTTAAAATTCAGCATGTCAACAAATAAATATCACCAAAGAATAAAGGCTGTTTAATGCTCAGATAAAATAACTTATGTACTTGGACAGTCGAAAAAAAGTTCGAAAACTCTCGAAAAACCTGATCTTAACAGATGTTAAAGTGTTGTGTTGATGTTTACTTTAACTTCGGAACTAAACTGCTTCTACAAAATTTACGATAAATATCATTCATTTTCTTTAAACCGTGAGGTGTTAAAATGAATAAATTTTTACAGCTATTTATTTCAATTTTATCCTATTAATGAGGCATCTACGATGAAGGCATCATTTTATTTACTTTTACTTTTTTTTGAAGTTATAAAGTTCGTGAAAGTCTTAATTATAATCGTCAATATTGAAATTATTACTTCCCTTTAGCTTTATACTGACCATCTGATTAGCTTGTAAGAAAACAGTCATTGATTTCATTTTCAAAAATAAAACTGTTAGAGTTTGTGTCAATTCGTTTTTTTAAAATGATTAAAACTAATCAAAACTAGAATGTCCTCAATTTTCTTGAAAAATATCTGGTTACCCTACCTTTCCGAAGCGTAAGAAGTTGATGTCGAAGGAAACGAAGAAAGTGGTTTTTAAAAGCTTATAATAAATAATCTGATTATCATGTGGATTAATGTTTGGATTTGTTATGAAGACGTCAATGTTAATTTCTCTATTAAATGGTTGATGACCCTGTTCAAGACTTTATACATTTTATTAGAGACCCAATGTTATTCGATAGTTTCAAGTTTCAGACTCGGTTTGATTAATCTCAAAAAGCCAACTTAATCCCGAATTTGAATTTACTTCAATAATAACTTGACTTAATAGGAAGTGACTCATATTTCTTTCTTAAAATGATAACTCTAAGGTTTAACTCTAATCAAGTATTCTATCTCAATCATTCATTGAATGTTCTAAATGTTAATTTTACAGATTCCTAAAATCCAAGTTAAGGACATAGTCAAAATACTGATTGAATCCATTTATCATTTTTAAAATCTTTCAAATACCTAGTTTAATGAATTTATTAAACAAAATACTTTGGGCAACCAAACATTACGATGCAATTTTTTAGAATTTGAATAATGACATGTATATTACATATGATATATCAAACCATTCAAAATAATAATGACAGCACTCTTATGCAACTCTAAACTCTTGCCGATGAATATCAAAAAATTTCTATTTTCTTCATTTACGTGTTAATCAATTGTTTAAAATAAAATATTCATAAAAACTCATTGTTCAATAAGTTCGTGAACAGAAGACTTATAAATGAAGCAAAAAGATAATAAATTACATTTTGTTGTGATTTACTTGATTGAAAGAGAACTCAACTAAACAAAAAATGACTATGCACAACTCAGATGTTATGTTTTCTCGTTTTGAATAGTAAGGTAAGAGACTTTCAGCTTTATCTTCTTCGGTAAACCGTTTTAGCAAAGGAAAAGAAGTATGAGAGAGGTAGTGGGGAATGCTTATGGAGAATAAAAATTGAGATATACGCTTCTCTGAATCGTTAAAAAACTATATAAAGGCTTCTGTATAAAGGCAGTCGCCTTCAATCTACTGTGCTTCATTATCGTGTTGTGATTTTATTAGTTTTCTCCTTTTTTCGCATTAACACAAGAAATTTTAAATCAGGTAAGTCTTCATCTCTAGGATTATAGCGTTTTATACGTGAATATGAAAACATATAAAGTCAGTGTGTATATGAGGAAGATAAAAGTGAAATAAAAGTCAATAATCATAAGGATAAAGAGAACTAATGTATACAAAAAATTGTTTGTGATATCAAAAAAGTTTCATGTGCCTAAAGTTATCTCTTTCTATATATGTGACTAGAAAAGTTGATGTCATGAGAAAAAGAAGTTTCATGGAAAAGCAATATCCAAATTTATGATAATTTTTGCAAAAATTTTAGTACAAATAATTTACATAAAATCTTTATTAAAATAAAAATCAAAAAATTTCAGCAAAATGAAAGTTGTTTTGTGCCTGTTCGCCTGCCTTGCTTATGCCGCAGCATTCCCTCATCCACAAGGGCAAGATTTCAATAATGAAGCCATTAGACAAGCACAACAATCTCACTTAATTCCACACAATGCCATCATTCATGGTGTAAGTTAATTGGATTATAAGATTGTGTCAATAAATTAAATTCTATTTATCTATAGGTTGAGAAAAGTGTCCCATTAGCTGCCTATGAAAATATTCCAGTTGGACAACGCGTCGATTTATTCATGATTTTGGGTGATCAAATTCCAAGAGAGGTAGCTGAGAATCTTCAAGAGCAGATCGACAGACTTCCAAACTAAAATTTTCTTTTAAGTCAGCATAATAAAAATCATGAGAAAATTGTTTTTGCCAGTTTTCGACAAATCAGACACACAGAGGTTGTAATTAAGTAAAAGAAATCATGTTATAAGTTAAGATCGTTGTGCCAAACTTATTTTTTTCCTTAAATTAATTTCGACAAAAGAAATAAAAGAATTTGTTTATTTTTATAGAACTTTCTTTGTTTTGATCTTTTAATCGACTATCAGACATCAAACAGAGTCAAAGTGTCATGCAGTCATGTCTTTTTTTAATAGCTACACAATAAATCAGCAGAGACCTAGGGTTACCATCTAGTTTTCATGAAAATACAGGACATTTGGTAAATTTTTTCGAAAAAAACAGGACATAGAGTAAAATTCGAAAATTAACGGAAATTTTCATGAAATAAATACAGGACCAGGAACAAAATTTAAAAATTTATACAGGACAGGGTTTTGAAATACAGGACTGTCCGTTGTAAAACTACGCAGATGGTCACCCTACAGAGACCTTTCTTTTATAATGCTTCATGTTTATCTTTCGCTTCTTTTCCTCTCTCAACTTTCACTTTCAATCGTGTCGCTGCTTTTTTTGTTGTTGCTGCTTATTTTAAAGCTACTCGTTGGGTCGAGTTGATGAAATATAAAATAATAATGTAATCACGACTATACATGATCAAAATATTGATTATACACTTCTTTTTTTGCATATTGAGGCATCTATTCCAAAAACGTAGACAGTAGACACTTAACGAATATTGTCGCGAACCAGTTCTTTCATGTTCATGTTTCATTCATTGTGTTGTACTTTTTTTAACCGATGCAATCGCGGTGTTATTACTATTTGGGAGTTACGTAATTTTGCGAAATGTATTTTCGGTCTTCTTCTTTCCTTTGTACATGTAGGACGGTCTCTGAAGGCAAGTGTGTTTCGATGATACTGGGGCAATTAATATCTGTAGTTGAATGATTCACCAGATGAACTTTAATGCCGGGAAATTACGTAAACAATTGTGATTGTAAAATAAATCAGATTTGAAATTTAAGTTTTCAAAATTTAAGATTTTAAAAAACAAATCCTTAAAAATATTAAAATTAAATTGTCAATCAAGAAGACTAAAATCACAAACCTTTAAACGACGAAAATCTTGTCTTTATAATGACCATGATATATCCTATAATCATAATTCTCATACCAAGGATGTCTCAGATTTATGATTAATCATTACACGCCTCCTCAACTCTGAAATGTTTAATTTGCGGAACCACCCATATAATCATACAAGTGCATCGAACATTACGACATTTTTAATTTTTTTAAAACCTTTGGTATTTTTTATTTTCATTACAAAATCGGTCTTTTTTTAAGTGTCAATTAAAGTTAAAAAAAAGGAATTTTAAGATTTTTTTATAATACAAATAAATTAATTAAAAAATGGCAAAGAATTGAATCAATTTCAACAGTCAAAGACATTCAAAGTTCATCACTAATTTTCGATTCATTTTCAACAGTTTCATCCTCAACACTTGATGATGTATCAGCTGTAATCATTTCTTTTTGTGTGCATTTTATTGCATTTTTATTTCATAATATCAGCAAGAAGTCAGGCAGAAATAATAAAGAAAGAAATTAATAAATATGGTTTATGTCAGCTATTTAGTTTAGTAATAACAAAGTAATGTTAATGTGTGTGATTTGATGTGGTTATAGTGTTAGCATACGAAAGGAAAGACTCTATGAAAACTAGCTAATTATTAGATGTAAAAATTATTAATAGTGTCATTTAGGTAGCATTGTTTCATTCATTCAAAAAACACTTTCTACTTTCTTTCTCATCTCAAGTTACTAAGTTTTATTTAATTTAATTCATTCCCATCGCTGCTTCGAGAATCTCTTGTCCTGGCTGTTTTGGAGTTGGATTATTTTTCAACCAATATTCCGACAATGAGATGTATAGACCAACAATGAGACCAAAGATTGCGGCAAGCCATGTCGAATTTTGGAAGATAATGCAGACAGTAATACATAGGCCGAGATATAGACAATAGCGTGTAAATGTTACATAGCCGTCACGTTTTTCGCTTGTAAGATCTGTTGAATATTGATAAGATATAATTTTCGGACTATTCAAAAATAATGACATTGTTCAATCAATTGCCAATACTACATAATAGCATATTATTAAAATTAAATAAAGCGTAACAAATCTTTCAAACGAAAAACTACTCGCATGTTAATGCAAGTTAAACAAAATGAATAAAAAGCAACAATTAGTAAGCAGAAATGATAAAGACAACGAATTATGTACATAAAAATGGAATAGTTTGCTTGTCTACATACCAGCGCACATTCCGTCGCGTAATTCATATCCATATGCACATTCTTTGCACATATCTGGACCATCGCCTTCGCATCCACTGCATGATTTGTCACATTCTAGGCACGCATATGATCCTTCATTGTTAACACAGAAATGACTTTTGGTATTGCATGGAGACTTTTCCATGCATTCATTAATGTCAAAGCATCCCTCATTTTCCTTTTGGAACCATCCTGTCTTACATTTTTGACAGTTTCGTGGACCAGCACCTTTGCAGGATGATTCACAAGCAATATGACATTCTGAGCAAAGTAATGTTGTTTCATCCTTAAATGATTCATAGTAACCTGAACCACAAGCATCACATCTTACACCGTCATATCCATTATCACATTTACATTTTCCATTGCCTTTACGTGTACCATTTCCTTTACAAACACCATTACCTGAACAATCGGAACATTCTAGGCAGTCTTTTCCAAAGCGATTTGGTGGACAGCAAACTTTAAGAGTATCAATGCAGAACCATTTGAAAAAATCTGGAAATTCCTCTTGATGCTTCCACCAATATTCTATCTCGGATTCATGCTCCTCAGCAATTGTATGACATTGCTGTTCACCTCGAACAATATCAGTACATAGCATTTCCTGTATTTCAACTAAACGTAATTCACTAGTCTTATAACTTCCTAATTTCTTTTCTTCCCAATGTGCATCTCCTCCTTCATGTTTGCCACGTTCTGTTTTCTCTAAGCCCTAAAGATTACGAAATTTTTAACTTACGTCTTATCGATTTCTTCTCAACAATTTATCAGTCGCTTACCTTTTTAAAAGATTCTATAAAAACCGTACATGATTTGCAAGGAGGAAATTTTTGCTGCTTTTCAGCTTTAAGCTTTTCATCTTTAGTTCCGAAACTATTTGATAAAGGAGGTGCTTGAAAATCACAAGTTACTAAAGTGGTTGTCAGTAATAAATATTGGATTAGAATTATAATTTTGTGCATTTTTCTAACAGACTTTTGATGACTTGATGTGAAGCACTTTAATATTAGCTTAGTTAAATACTAGAAAACTTGTTAAAACTATGCGCAGATTTTAATTAAATATGACTTAATTCATTCAGGATTTTTTTTTATTTTTCTTTTTTGAGAAAAATTGACTCGGGAAGAATGCTATGCTTTACGTGTACTCAGCAGAGGTGTTCAGCATATTCAGCAAGTCGAAGGGATAGTCACACTATTTTATGTATCAATTATTTTGAAATTCTCGGAACTGAAAAACTAGATTTTTGCATTTTGATCTTTAATAATTTTGATTTTAAGGAAGGATCGTTGTTCAGGATATTAAGCTATAAGTTTTTTAACTTTTGGCGAAAAATTTATTGAAATATCTAAGCAGTTTCCATAGAAAATTAAAAAGTAAGAATAAATAGAATTTTCAAAGTTTGAATCTTCTTTGAACGTTGTTCATTTCACAATTAATCCTTAAATTTTAAAACTTTTAATTCTGGTTTTTAAAATTTAAAAATTTTCAAAGTTTTAAAATGACATTATAAGAACTTTTAAAGTTTTTAAATTTTTTCAATATTGAGTGAGAAAAATGATTTTAAAAATATTTGTGAGATTTACACAATTCACACTTCTACAGAAAATACCAAACGAAGATATTGTTAAAATGAATCATTGATAAAGGCAAAGAATATTGTTTTTGATGTTGTGCATTTAATTTTGTTATTTCTAATAGAAAAGTCGATTGTTGTGGATAATCAAATTTTAAAACCATTTATAAACTGTGCCTTATAATTTCACAATTTGTGAGACAGTTTGTGCGTATAATCTTAATTAATTAAATCAACAAAAGAGTTGTAACGAGTTTTGAAATTCATTTAATTGCTTATTAATTAAAAATAAATTGAATCTTGTAAATTAGCAGTACATCCAATTAAATTTCTAATTGCGATCATTTCTTGGAAAACATTTCAATTGATCTGAAAATAAATTTCAAGGTCGCTTGATAAAAAACAATCAAAACAGTTAAATTAATAATCTTCAGAGATGTGCTGAACAAGTTTCAATGGTTTTCAATGATTTTGGTTTCTTGAGAACTTATAACTTCCAGTAAATCTCAAATTATATCATTTGGGAGCCGGTTTTTCTATAAAATTGACAGTTTTTGATGACTGAAATGTTAAAAAGTGGAACATATAATTTGTATGATTCGTAAACTTTCTGTTTCTGTTGCTGTAAAACATTAAACAATCAACAGCTTTGGGAAGTAAAAACTGAATCTCATATTTAACACTTGATCATGAACTAATGAAACGTAGTCAATTATGGAATCACTAACAAAACGTAAACAACTTCAAAGATGCCCACGAGAGAATGCAAACATTCTTTCATATTTGACATTTACATGGGCATTTCCAATGTTTTTAAGAGGCAGAAAACAAGCAATAAATGATGAAAATTTATTTAAGCCGCTTGATGAGCAAGTTGCAAGTAAATTGTCAAGTGATATTGAACTGTCGTGGAAAAAAGAAAAGCGAAAATGCCAGAAGAAGAACAATGTCCCATGGATCGTCAATGCATTAGCTGATGTTTTTGGTTGGGAAGTTGTGGCGCAAGGATTATTATTATTGTTTATCGAATGTGGAATCAAAATTTTACCTCCAATATTCTTAAGTCAAATTATCAAGTACCACGAAAATTCTGATCAAAACAGCAAATCTCTTATGTATTGGAGTACTTTTGCAATCACAATTTGCATATTTCTTAATGTCATAATTATGCATGCCTTCAGTTTGAGCAACTTAAATTTAGGACTTAAAATGAGAACTGCTGTAAGCGCATTGATCTTCAATAAGTGCTTGAAATTATCTAAAACTGCCTTGGGAAGCATAAGTTTAGGAAAAATCGTAAACATGCTGTCCAGTGATGTTGGTAGATTTGATTCTACTGCATTTGCTATTCATTACATTTGGGTTGGACCTATTCAGATAGTTCTTGTTACTGCTTTGATTTATAACGAAGTAAGACTGAAATTTAAATGATTAATTCATGAGGTTATAAGTTGTCTTTGTCAGATAGGTGTATCAGCATTTGGTGGTGTCATTCTTCTCCTTTTGATGATCCCATTACAGTGTATGTAGATTGACCATTTAAGTACTTATTTTCTTTTTAACTTTTTAATTTTTTAAGTATTTTTGGGAAAAACAACTGCCAAATTGAGGATGAAGACAGCAACGAGGACCGACAGAAGAATTAAATTAATGAATGAGGTACGCAGAACTAAATCATCCAAAAATCTTAATCTAAATCTTAAAACACATTCTGGTTAACAGATAATTCAAGGAATTCATGTAATAAAGATGTATGCATGGGAAAAGCCGATGAGAGCAGTTGTTGCTGCAACTCGACTAAAGGAAATTCATATGATTCGATTTGTTTCATGGATTAAAGGCATCACATTATCTCTTATGGTGTTCTCATCACGAATTTCCATATTCACAAGTTTAATCATGTATGTCTTACTTCAAAATGTACTTACAGCACAAAAAGCTTTCGTTGTTACTGCTTATTACAACGTACTTAGACAGACTATGGTCATCATGTATCCACTTGCAATTAATAATATTGCTGAATGTCATGTTGCTGTAAAAAGGATAGAAAGCTTACTTTTCATTAATGATGAAGAGGATAGCAACTTGAATAGAATCGATACAGGAACTAAGACAACTGTCTTAATAGAAAATGTTTCTGCAAAATGGAACCGAGAATCTGATGACTTTACATTATCAGGAATTAATCTTAATTTTAAAGCACCATCAGTTAATACATTTATTGGGAAAGTTGGATCTGGGAAATCAAGTGTACTTCAGACAATTTTGGGTGAATTGCCAATTACAAAAGGCAAAATCGAAGTAAATGGGAAAGTTTCTTATGCAGCTCAAGAGACATGGCTTTTCTTGGGTTCTGTAAGACAAAACATTCTTTTTGGACTTCCAATGGACAAGATTAGGTACCGAGAAATTGTTAAAGTCTGTTCATTGACACGAGATTTTGAAATTTGGCCTGAAGGTGATAAAACAATTGTCGGTGAACGAGGCATGAGCTTATCAGGTGGACAAAAAGCACGAATTAATTTAGCACGTGCCATTTATAGACAAGCTGATATTTATCTGCTCGATGATCCACTTAGTGCTTTAGATTCGCATGTTGGTCGGCATTTGTTCGATAACTGTATAAAGAACTTCCTAAAAGATAAGCTTGTCATTCTAGTTACACATCAATTGCAGTACCTTGAAAGAGTTGATCAAATTATTCTGCTAGAAGATGGAAAGACTCAAGCTATTGGAACTTATGAGAATCTTAAAAATTCCGGTCTTGATTTTACGAATCTTTTACCTGAACAAGAAAATACTAAAAATGATGATTCCGAGTGTGGAGATATTCCTGAGAATAAAAGACTCTTTCAAAAACAAGAAAGTACATTCAGTAAAAAGTCAGATCAAGGAGACGAAAAAGAGGATAAAAAGAATATGGACATGAAAGAAAAACGTGCAGAAGGTTCAATTGAATGGAAGGTTTATGGAAAATATTTTCAAGCAACAGGTGGTTATGTTATCATCACGTTCATCATGTCCTTTTTTGCTTTAGCACAAGTGATAGCATCCATAAGTGATTATTTCCTTTCTTATTGGGTTTCGAAAGAATCTTCAAGGAATATTCAAATTGATACTGCTATAAATAAGACTACTTTAGCACAGACTTTAGTCAGTTCCATTATTGGAACTGGGGATTATGATCGTAACATTGATATCTACATTTATAGTGGATTAATAATAACAACAGTGTTGCTGACATTGGGAAGAAGCTTCTTATTTTTTAATGTAGCAATGCGTGCCTCTCGTCAACTACATGATGCAATGTACTCAGGAATTACAAGAGCAACAATGTTTTTCTTTCACAATAATCCATCAGGTCGAATTCTTAATAGATTTAGCAAGGATATGGGACAAATTGACGAAACACTTCCGATGACAATGATTGACTTCTTCCAACTTATTTTCTCTTTGCTTGGTACTATTGGTGTTCTTATTGCTGTCAATCAGTATTATCTAATTCCAACATTTATACTCTTCACGATCTTTTACATGATCCGTAAGGTTTATATCAAATTATCACTAGACATCAAGAGATTAAATTCAACAAGTAAGTTGGTGACATTTTTTCTATCCTTCATCATTTTCTTATGCCTTATATTTTCAGCATCTTCGTCAGTTTTTTCATACTTGAGTGAGACATTGAATGGTCTGTCAACAATTCGTGCCTTTAAAACTGAAAATAATATGAAGGAAGAATTTTATCAGCACATGGACATAAATACCTCATCACATTACATATGGCTCGCAATGACTCGAGCTTTTGCGTTTGTACTAGATATCTGTTGCTTCGTCTATATCGCTATAGTCATCATTAGCTTTCTATTCACTGAAAACAGTGACAGCGGTCATGTTGGATTGGCAATAACCCAAGCTTTAGGATTGACTGGAATTGTACAACTCGGCATGCGACAATCTGCTTTATTAGAAAATATGATGACAGCTGTCGAGCGTGTCGTCGAGTATCAAAGTGTAGATCCAGAACCACCACATGAATCTCCAGAAAATAAGAAGCCACCAAAAGATTGGCCAAAAAGTGGAGTAATAAAGTTTGATAAGCTGTCATTAAGCTATTATCCATCAATGGAAGATAAGGTGCTTAAAGATCTAGAATTTGAAATTCGTGCAAATGAGAAAATTGGAATTGTTGGAAGAACTGGTGCTGGAAAGAGTTCAATAATTAATGCCTTATTCCGTCTTTCATATTTAGACGGTTCAATTTACATTGATTTAAGAGAAACACAAGAAATGGGCTTGCATGACTTGAGATCAAAAATATCGATAATTCCGCAAGAACCAGTACTGTTTTCAGGCACAATGAGATACAATTTAGATCCATTTGATGAATATAATGATGATAAATTGTGGATGGCACTTGAAGAAGTGAAATTGAAGGAATTAATTAAGGAGATGCCATCAGGATTAAATACAAAAATTACTGAAGGTGGAACCAACTTTTCAGTCGGTCAACGTCAACTTGTGTGCCTTGCACGAGCAATTCTACGTGAAAATAAAATTCTTGTTATGGACGAAGCAACTGCAAATGTCGATCCACAAACTGATGGCTTAATTCAAAAGACTATTCGTCTGAAATTTGCAGAATGCACGGTACTTACAATTGCTCATCGACTTAATACAGTCATTGACTCTGATAGGATATTAGTGATGGATGCAGGAAGATGTGTTGAATTTGGTACGCCACGTGAGCTTTTATCAAAAATAAATGAACCAAGAATATTTTATAATTTGCTGAAAGAAACAGGAAGAACGAATTTTGAACATTTGTGTCAAACGACACACGAGGTAAGAGAGCATTGATTCAGTCACTATTAAAAATCTATTAATTTTATTTTTCTATTTGCAGTCCTTTTATCAAAAATCGAAGAACATTTAAATAATCCAAAAATTTCCATGTAAATCATGACTTAATAGTATTATATATGTTGGTGACATCATGTTCTTATACTAACTTTCACTATTTGTATTATAATAAAAAGCTTCCAAATTATAAGAAAATGTTCATGAACCGAGAAATAATGCTAGGAGATTTCTGTTAAATGGATGTTTCAGCATTTACGAACTTAATATGTTTTTATATCTTTATTCCAATAAATAATTATTTTAATAGTTTAATTTCATCAATTTGGCTAATATTAGCATAGATGCAGTCTTTTAATGCTGGAAATAAAAATTTCATTAAATCAACGGTTTTCTTAAAATTCAAATGTTTTCACAATCGAACAAGTTCGAAAATTGCAAAGGCAAGAAAACCCAATATTTTTTGGTACAATTTTAAGAACTAATATTAAATTGATCTGATTCAGATAGTCAGTCAGACTTCAACTATTGATTTTAAAAGTTAACATCTTCCTCAAACAATTAACTTCAGCTAATCTCAGTCAGTAATGTTTTAAAGAAATTACCAAAAAAAATCAAAGTTCTCTTAACTTGCAAGTTCAAAACAAAGATTTTTGTAAATTAAAATAACTTAAAATTTAATAGGAAATTGACATAAACTGATTAAAATAATACTATATCTACAACAAGTAATCATATAAAATGCTATAATTGATCAAATGTTTGCGGATCACTATAAAATGACAGAGAATAATTACATTATTGGAACTTGTAAGGGATTCTGTCCTTTAAAAGAAATTAAATTAAGAAAAAGCACGAACTTAATACACTATTATGAGAAAAATGGAAAGTTGATTAAAGAATTCACTAGAAGTGCTGCAGACCGAAAAATGGAACAGCCAGAAAATTTGCGTACTTTCGAAGCACTGAAGAATACTTTGGAATATCTGATTAATAAGTGAGTATTTAGATGCAATTATTTTCGTAGACATTCGTTTGTTGTTCTTGAGCCTCCATTTCTCTTAAATTATTCTTCGTACTGCTGTTCGAGACAGTATGATACTTTCCATAAAATCTCTTATGGATCTTGCCTCTTATCCGATGAATACACACTAATATGGAATGTATAAGTGCGCCTAAGAATAAAACTCCAAAAGCAGCTATTAACGATGATCCAGGCTTTGCGTTCCAATTTAAAATTGGATAAATATAGTTCTGTCCACGTCTATTTTATGTAGGCAAGGAGAAAGAAGAGTTTATTGACATTAGAGCATGTCTTCCTTGAAAAAAAAAATCGATGATTCACTTACCTATTGACGCCGCCGAAAAATGGATATAGCCATGTAAAAATGAGTAAATAGGCACAGCCACAAAACACAGGCCAGACAAAATGTGAAAATCTCGCTCGATGTTTAATAACGAAAATGTCGATAATTAATATACAGGAATTGGTGATGTGAACTATTACATTATTTAAATCCAGTTTATTATTATCCTGATGATATAAAACAGCCCAGTATATAAAGGATATTAATATCGCGTACATAGTAGTACAAATAGAGAGGAACCAATAAAACTTTAATGTTGGTGTCATTTTATTTGTTATCTCATATCTGTTTCTGTAGAATTGCGTTGATATATAGGCACCTAGTAATGTCGCTATCATCGTAGCCACTAAGTTTAAGTTTGTTAAATAAATAAAATAAACTTTAAAATCGCCACGTAAAAATGCGGTGACTATTGATATCATTACACTTAACACATAAAATGCAGCTAGGAGCCATCGATATATTAAATAAACTACACATCGTTCCCGACTTTGCCATTGTGAAATTACGAAATCTTTTGGCGAGTCGTGCTCAAAGTCACAATTGATTTTTTTGCTCAAAAATTTCTGAACTTTTTCTTTCATGATTTTTTAATTTTATTATTTTTTCGCTAGTTCACTAGCTTGTTGTAGGCTCAAAAATTAATATTAGAATAGAACTAAGTTATAAAAATATTATTTTATAAATGACTCCGATGTGCAGCTATTGAATGGCGGTAACAGACTGAATCGCAACCCTTAATAGTTTAATGAGCTCCCTAACAATGCGATATTGTGAGAATAACTAGCAACAAAAAAAAATATTCTTCTCGTACACAACTTTACAGAAAAGAGAAAAAAAAATAAGTAAGAGAGATTTTTAGAAGCAATTCATGCTTTATGCTGCCTGCCATTATTGCCTTTTCCTTGATTCAATTAAATATTTACTATTATAAACAAATTTTGTCATTTAACCTGATCTTAATCAGACATAGTTTAAGTATTTTTGTTCTGTGTCCTATTTTCGTGCCTCTATTGGACATGACATGAAGGTGATGGATAGAATAGAATATTTAGATGTCAAAAAATTAATTCTTTACGGATGTAGATGCTAATCTTGAATCTACAGCTAACCTCTAATGTTGTTCAGATCATGACTGTCCAAAGCTTTGGTATAGTTTGATACATCAATATAGAGCAGTCAGTGGCATTTAATGAGGTCCAGAAGTCAGAAAAGAGGAAAAAGGTTTAGGAAAAATCCAATGAGTGCGAACAAAGAAAATGTCAGTTAATTTTGGTTAATTTCGAAAAAATTCAAAAAAAAATCGATAAAATTCGAAAATATGAAATTTTGAAAAATAAAAATACGTTAACGACTTAATTAAGAAACAAATTTATTTCAATTGTTTTTTGATGCAAATTTGTTTCTGTTATGTAGTAATCAACACGGACACTGAAATTTTGCTCTAAATTTAACAAAAGCTTTTAATAGTTTATCAATCGTTTCTTCACAATGTTCAAAAACTACTTCAACTTGGGCAATTACTGTATCAATAAATTGTTGATTAAATGAAGGATCAGAACATGAAATAAGACAATTTAATAGCCTATAAATGAATTCTAGACACATTAAAACGCATTGAACTTCTACTGAAAGTTCCCATGAAGATTCTTTTTTCAAGAAGTAATTTAAATGCAAAATGTAAACAAATAATTGTAACGGAAATTTCAAATTCAAATTTTTTTCCCGCGCTCGAAAATTAGATCCTTCGAAATCGAAAATTAGTTCTCATCCGCACTCATTGGGGAAAAATAATCTAATGACTTCTGGAAATCAGTAGCTGTAGTTCGTAAGGCAAAAGGGGAGTTTAACATATTACTTATCGAAGATATAAGACACTTGTGTCTGAGATTCATTATTAGCTGATTCATCTTATGCTAGTAATGTTTTAAAACATTTTACCTGCAAGATAAATCCTGCAAAAACATTAATCATATAAATACACAGAAATACACGTACGCATAGACAAAATGACTCAAATTACACCAAAATTATTACTGTGCAACTAAACGTGAAACTAAATCAAGACATAAGAAGAAGCCATTAGTTTCTCTTTGAAGAAATTCGATGGAAAAGAGAAGATTAAAGTATTTTTCTGCAAAAAGAGCAGCGCATTTTTTGTACATTTTTTTTAAGTTCATTGACTAGAGTACACCAATTTTTTCTGTTCTGTTTTGTACTCTTCTACTTCCTTTAATTTTCACTTATAACAAAAAAAGAGAAGTTTAACATCTTTGAAATTATTTAGTATATATCCATCATGCTATTGCTTGCCAGAGCATCAGAAAGAGGTACGAAAACAAATTGATAAAAATAAGCTTGATTCTGCATGATATAGTTTCCGAAAATATGTAATATTAGTAATCATGAATCATTTTATGAACAATAAAAGGAATTTGCTTATTTAAAAATTAGAATAACTCATAAATTTTTCAAAAAATATCTGGTTTTAAAAATTCAAAAAATAACGGGCATGAAATATTTGAAAAGTTACTCAACAAGCAGACAGACAGACAAAATAAAAGCATGAATTAATTTTTCTTTAAAACATGCTTTAAAAAATTTCATAAAGGCACGAAATGGCGAATTGGTCTGAATGTATAACAACAAGATATAACACACATCGTCCGACATTCCTTTATTTCCTAAACGAGCTGTCTAAGTTCTCGGAAGACAAATTGTTGCAGATTCGCTAAATGTTAATTTTTCACATATAAATACCTTTTAACGTATTTGTTGCCGGTTCCAACAAGAAGAAAACAATAAAATACGAAGCACATGCAGTTTTATGCTTTCATATCCTTCCATATTCTCTCTCTCTCGCTTCTGCTGTTTCTCTTCATATTGATTCGTCTACACATGGCGTGACTCGGTAACGGTAGACTTTTTCCATTCACGTGATTTCGCTTTTTAGCCTATAATTAAGCATGTGTTTCAAATTGATCAAATTTTCATAGTTTTTATATATTTTTGTACGTAACATCGTTCAATTTGAAGAAGTTTGAAATTTAATTAACTTCATTAACTTATAAAAATTTTATAAATACTTCGGAATGTATTAAGTATGATGCCTAAAATATCATGAGCTATTTTACTTACGTATGGAATAGCAAAGTAGCAAAAACATATTTAAATAGTATCACGAGCGCATTGGCTGTAAAAAAATTAAAAAGGAACGGTCACAAAAATTTTAAAAATCAACGGTTTCCCAAAATTTGAAAAACAACAAAAATATTTTTTTTATCGCTTAAAAAAATTTGTACAAAGCTATAAGATGATAAATCATTTTAAAAAAAATGTCGTTCTTTCATGCTTCATTTCATTTTAAACAAGAAAATAAAAGTTTGTGCTATTTTTTTTTGCGAATCTCTACGTCATTTCTTCTTGACTGACCTCCAAGATTCCCTTCTACATCATCATAGGCTTAAAAAAGTAGAGCTGTTGAACACGTCATTACTTTTTGTTTTATTGTGTTGCGTGCCTTTATAGAAGTATGCGTGTATGTAGTTTTTTGTACTTTCCAGTGTTTTCGCAGGACTAGAGAAAGAAAGGAGGAGATTAAATATTTAATCTAGGAAGATTTATATTAATCTTGGGATTAATTTTTTTTTGTTCAGCGGTCACAATTATAATTTTAAGTTTTTTCAAAAAAAAACCCAAATGATTGTTAATTCAAAACAGATCTTTTTTTCTCTTTCAGAACTATTTTATCAGTTGTTACTTAATTGCTGTTCTCTGTAATAATTAAAATAAGAAAAAAATGAGTAGACAAAATTTTATAGCCATGCTGCATACTTTATTTTATATTGTAGTACAAAATAAATTCTTATTCTAATTATTTAAATCTAATATTAGGGCTTTGTATGCACTATTCTAACTTAGAAGCCGGTGGCTGACATCCATAATTTAAGAGAAATGAGGGCAGAGAGGATGAACAAAACTGGAAATTACTAGTTAATTGATAGTGATAGAATTAAAACTATTGCTTATATTTTAAAGTCTGAACCACAAAACTTTCAGTGAAGATCTTCAAGCACTTCCTTTGCACATGTATGACTTGCATTTTAACGAGCACGATTCATAAATTAATGCTTTAACATGAGCAATGGCACAAAAACTTATATGACATATTCCTAAAAACACAACAGCTGATGCTCCAATAATAAATGCACTTGTAGGATCTTCTTTCCAATTTAATATTATATATACATAGTTATTTCCATATCTATCAAGTCCACCAAGTAGTGGATAAATGACTGTGAATGCCAAATAAAGTATGCCAGTAATCATGGGATAAATCATGTGTGCAATTCGATATTCATGTTGTATGAAAAATAAGTCAATAAATAGCACCAATGAGTTTGTCACATGCACAAGAACATTATTTAAATTTAAAACATCATCAGATTTGTGAAAAAGCAATGTCCAATAGATTCCACTGACTACACAGGCGAACGGTAAAATGCCAATGTACAAAAACCAATAAAACTTCAATCCAGAAGTCATGCGATCAAGTGATTTTAATTTTCCTCTGTAGAACTGAATGACATAATATGCGCCAATATTGCACGTGATTGTCGTGACAAAAAGGTTCATTCGCGTTAGGTAAATGAGCGATAGAAGTACATTGTCATATTGGATTGAGTAAATTATTGATTCCAAGAATGAAAAGTTGTAGAAAATGGCTATTACCACTCGATAAATCACATAAAATGAACTTTTTTCGTCTCGTTGCCACTGTAAATGATAATAATTAAATAATCATTTTTTTACGTATTAACTAAGCAGCTATTATCACCTGAGATGTCAAGAACTTTGAAGGAAATTCACTTTCGAAATTAAATATTATTTTTTGGCACACCGATTTGCTCATCGTGCTTGCTTGTTTGAGTACAAATCAACAAATGATTTTCCTTTGCTATGAAAATAGACTGACTTTAGACCTGAGAGGAAAATGGGGTTCTGTGTCAGCATATTTTGATGTATGTGTGCATTATTGAATAATCAGTTTGGGGGAATTATGGCTGTTGTAGCTTTGCTGATTGATGAAAAATTAAAATTTTGAACGATTAATAAATTTAAAGAAATTTGCTGTTGTGAGGTTCGAAAACGGTCAAAATTTAAATCGTTTCAGCTGTTGAAAGGTTTTCGGAATATTTATAAATCATCAAACCGCTAATAATCAGCTGTTTTATAGTTTTTAAACTTTCTGCTGTTTTAATTTAATGTTCAAAAATCATAAAAAATTGCTGTTGAATGGTTTTATAATTTGAATTTCTCACAAGCGCTAAATTTGGATTTAAATAATCAGTTGTGAGGTGGAGTTTTCTCCCAAACTCCGAATGAGGAGGTTGTGAAATTGTGCAATACTTCAAAATTAATTAATTACGCGTAGGAATAAGTCACAAACCTACGGGAACTGTCTTCAAAGTAACAAAGATACCAAGGAGAAAACTCAGTAAAGTCGCGATTTAATTAAATTTTGGATATAAATTGAAATTGAAAAAAATTTGCAAATTTTGCACATAATCTAGATAAAACGGAATTGATCATTACGGAATACCAAAGAACATTTAATTACATTGACAAATCACGATCGGCGGCAGTTGTGAGGAGAATCAATTGTTTTACGTGGGTTTTTTGTGTTTTACCAACAATCGTGGACAAGAAGGTTCTATCATAACCATAACCTAGACATATTGAATATTATTGGAATACAACGGATTAGCTTCAATTGTGAGGAGAATTCATCTCGCGATGGGTTTTGTGTGTTTCCCCATATATCGCGGGCAAGTTCTATCAGTCAATTGGTGCTGACTGGATTTCAACAAATCAACATTGACAAACAGGAATCGATCATCTCGGAATAAAGCAGAACATATTAATTACATTTACAGATCACAATCGAGGCATAAAAAAAATTTGAATCTATTTGGAATATCACAAGTTGAATTACAAGAAGGACTGTCAAGGGATCTGGATCATCGACAACTGAAGATGGAATTTATTGCCTAGCGATGGTTTTTTGATGTTTTGACTTATCGCGGGCATGTTTTCTGTCAACCATTTGGAGTTAACTGGATTTTATTGATTAATCTTTGTGTATATTTGTAAATTAAACTACCTGGAATTGTGAACGGTCTTTAAATAGCAATAAGCTGATGGACCATAATAAAGTCAATTAAGAAGAAGTCAGTTGTGAGGTTTTATTACTTTCATAAACTTGCTGTTGAATAGTTTTCAATATTTGAATTTTTAAAAACCATTAAATTTCACATTTTACAAAACCGTTGGCTAATCCTTGAATTTAAAAAAATAAATCTACTATACAAATGCTTTCTCAATGATTAAATTGTATATTACAAACTCTGCTCATCAGTTGAAACAGCATCTTCTTAATCTTGTTGCTATAAATGTCATCACATATTCTTCTTAGAATGAAATTCTTTAAAATAAGACTTTTTTTTCTGAGGACACATGTACTTGAAGAGTGCATGCTAGACAAAATGTAGCCACTTTTATTGCCTAGTGACGTAAGTTTAAATATTTTCTGCTATTATACAATTTTTTTTTTTTTATTTTGTCATTTCAGAATTTTTGTTGATCGCGAAAAGCCGTTGAACTTTCGGTACGATTTCATTTTTGACAGATGTAGAGCAGTTCGGCAAGAAATAGTTATGCAAAATTTCACGAGTGAAAAGACTGTCGAGTTATTAGAGCCAATAGTGATGTTTCTTAGTTACAGTCTCTATAGACTTAATAGCGTTCCGATATCATTATTCGACTCAAAAATATGCCAACAGCATTTGCATGAATGTCTGTTAAAATGTCTGTCATGCTACGAGGAAATTGATGAGATGAATGTGGGAAAATATAAAATGGAAAATCGAATTATTGTGGAAGCAATTCACTTGATGCTGAATATCAATGACTTTGGCACATTTCAACGTGCTATTAAACTTAATAAAGCTATCAAATCAACATTTGTTTTGGGAACTGCCATCAAGATTTCAATTAATTTTCATCGACGACACTTCCATAAACTTTTGCACGATATTCAGGAACTTCCTCATCTCGTTGGAGCTATTGCATCGTTAAACTTATCACAAATTAGGAAGGAAATATTAAGAATTTTCTCAATTGCATACAGCAATCAAGTATTGAAGGTTCCATTAGAATTCATTCAACGTCTTTTGATGTACGATGAACAATTAAGTCTACTCAAACATTTAAGTGACCTTAACATTCATGAAAATTCAGATGAGAAGGAAACAGAAATTGGCATCAATTTTAATCGAAAGAAATTCGATAATTCGAAATCAATCGTGAGTGTTTTTATTTTTATTTAGACTTTTAAGTTACATAGACATGAAATTAACATAAACTGAGTCAGGGGTGCGTCCGAGGGAGTTCGAAACTCTAAATTTCAAAAGAATTTGACATTTTTTTTTGAAAATTCATTATTCAGTTTTTGACCAAATTGGTGCTGAATTCAGCAAAAGTATCAACTGAATAGCGCTGATTTCTAAAATAATTTTGCTGAATGCAGCATCAACTTAGTTTAATTCAGCTGAATAAAGTTAAGGGTAATTCCATGCTATAATTTTGCTATAAAATTTTCTTTAAATTGATTTTTTTCATCCTTAGGCTTTACAAAAGTTAATAAGATTTCCACAGGACATGTAAAAAGTCATATGGTATATGATTTGACATTAATTTTCTATCTAAAGTGGTTAATTCGTCCAAAAAATTATATTTTATAGCGTTACTTGGTAACATTTATAGCGTTACCAAGTAACGCTCATGGAATCAATTTTTTGGACGAATTAACCACTTTAGATAGAAAATTAATGTCAAATCATATACCATATGACTTTTTACATGCACTGTGAAAATCTTATTAACTTTTGTAAAGCCTAAATATGAAAAAAATCAATTTTAAGTAAATTTTTTACAAAAATTTCTCATGGAATTACCCTTAAATTGAATTCATCATTTGAAAATAATAAACAATTTATCACATTAACAAAATTTTATTTAGACATACCCCTGATTCAAATACTAGACAGCTTTACAATAATCTAATTTATAAAATAGAGCAAACCTAACAACATGTTTATGTCTATTATTGAATTATGTGTTATAATTCAGACTTCCTACTACAAACAATTTACATTAATTCACTTTTTCTATATTTTTGCTTGAATTTTGCAGCCAAACACACAACAACATTTTGTGGATAATAAACTGGATGATTTTCATCTACCGGATCTGATTTTAATGAAAACATGCGTTATGTGATAACTGTATTATTTTGTTAACTATCTATTAACTTAGAATTAGGTCATTTATGCGAATTTATAATGAACTGTCCCATGAAGTCACAACAATACTGAATTGAAGAATAATAGATCAATTTATCACACAATAAAGACGTCTGACTTGTGCCTTTAATATTAAAATATTTTCAGGAAATTCATTCACAGCAATAAGTCAATGACTATCATTGATAATAAAATCGTAGTTCCAGACATGATCATTCGTCCATTATTCTTCATCTTTGACTTCTTCGTTGGTTTCGTTTTCTCTCCATAAATTTTATCATGCAAGTCCAACTCATTAGATGTAAATTTATCAGATGTAAGCCAAACAATTCGATCACCAATCGGCTGAACTGGACGAAAATTGTGACTCAATAAGTTGCCCTCGTGATCCTTCAATGATCTAAAATGTCCAAGCTGATAAAAAAGAGATTTTTTTTTAAATTAATTTAAATTTGTTTTGAAACGAAAATGATAAATTGCTTAAAATTACAGTGCGTGTTAAACATGAGATGTGGCTAGACTGTCAGCTAGAGTTAATGTTTATTGACTAATGCTTAACACACTTTTTGCGGTTCATTTAAAATGATAATTGTTAATGTTTGCTTGGAAATATGCATTTTCACATCTATTTGAGGTGTTAGTTGTGTTTGGATATTGTCAGTGATTATTTGGCTATTTCGAAACGAAGAATTGATATAAAATTATATCAAAAGCCACTCTAGCTAATTTCTGGATTAAGAGGAGCGATAAAAAATAGATCCTAAGATTTAAGAACGGATTAAAATAAATCTATAGCTTAAAATGCAAAAAATACTTCAAAGATCATCGTCATGCACGAGAAAGCACAACAAAGCTGTCTAATTTATTTACGTCAAGACACACTTATTATCTAAATTTAAATTAAATTAAAATAATTCAGGAAGTAGAGCACAAGTGATTAAAAATAGAATAACTGCTTATTTTTTGCCGGTGCATACAATTATTATGCCATTGCCACTACAAATTTTCACACATTGGCAGCTTTTCAATTGGCCCGAACAAAACTATTCAACAAATGTTATTTAATATTCAAGAAAACAAATTTGTTTGGTCAGCACCGACAATCGTTAGTCACTCTATTTACCCCATAAATAATCTTTGAACTTTTTTTTCACAACCACATGCTTTTTGTCAACAAATCAAGTGATAATTATTCTGTCTACTAATGGATAACAATCAAGCAAAAGAAGAAGACAAATAAAAATCAATCGAAAGCTGTTAGAGACTTTTAGACTGCTTTTAAATACAAATTCACACGTGCTTTCACGCTATGATATTTTATTTGGCTATAAATAAAAACTTTTATTAAGTATTAATTAATAGCTCGAGATCGTACCTGCTTGTGTGATATTTGAATTGGTTCGTAAAAATCTAGCCATGTGACGACCTGTGTTTATAGGAAAGAGAGAATTTTTAATAAGGCATCGCTCATAAATGACGTCATTAATTTTCTGAAAAGCATGGGGAAAGACATAATTTATAAACAACCTCTATTATGACATGACATGCACAGAAGTACTTATAATTACACCAAGCAATTTAAATACTTATCTAGACATGGCGGAGTCGTAGTGCTGCCATTGTATACGTAATAATCATTCATATTTGTGTGAAGATAATCTTCAAGTGCTAAAGGTTCTTCAAATGCTGCTTGTGTATCTGGTTCACTAATTTGTTGTAATAATTTGGTCACTTCAACGTACGATGGATTTGGCTTGTGGGTGATGATGAAGAAAAATGCCAGCACAGCAAGTCCATCACTGAAATTTGTCGCATTCTCGAATGATCCGTACTTTTGCTTATAGAAGACAACATGAAGTTCCATTGGAAAATGCTTGCCATTAAAGCTGTCCTCAGATCCATAAGAGTCATTATCACCTACAATAATGGTTTATTACTTCCAATTTACTTTCAATATCCACAAAAGAATCAATGTCAAGTAAATATTACCCCAATGGAAATGAAGCTGTTCAAACTCATATCCGCCGTCTCTAAATGGTCCGCCATCAATTATTGGTTCTTTTCCTTGCTCTTTCTCCACAGTAAACATGACTATTGAATTAAATTGAAGCATTTATTTAATTTTTTATGAGCTCAATTAATCTATTAACTTTCATGTATTGAGATTTCTTCGACATGTTTCTTTTTTCTACACAAAATTAAGTTCTAGTAGGTCAGTTTGGGTATTTACTATTGTCAGTAGTAAATGTTCAGGTTTGTAGATAAGTAAGGTTCTATAAGTGCAAGATCTCGAAAGGAGATATGCTAATTAAAGCATAAAACCATTAGAAACGTTAGTCGATCCTTAATTGACTTTAAAGTGTCAAGGGCATGTTGTGCTAATGTATATAATGAATTGCTTGGGAACTATTGTGTGATCATCAAGCAGGTATGTTCTATTGAGTTTCATGAAAATGAATGTCAGGATCGTAGTCAAATTTGAAGGAAAATATCATATGTCTGGAACCGTGTCAAGTTATTATAAGCAGGGGATAATTCTTTTAGTAGCTTTTATTCTTGATGGTTCATAAACTAGCCTTTGTAAGGTTTGAGTGCTATTTTACTGTTCTAGTCATCGAACTTACTTTGTATGTGCTTTCGCACTTCATACCCATAATGTCCTAATTTTTTTCTATGTTGTGGATTTCAATTAATAGTCATGCATGATCATGTGACATTAAAAGACATTAGTAGATGACTGAAATGTAAACCATAGCCCCACATAAGCCCATTTTGTAGAAAAAGGAAAACTGACTTAATAGTATTACGTCATGTGATACATAAAATCAAAATTTGAGGCCTAAGTTTACTCAAACCTACATTTGAACATTCAATCCTTCTCAATCGATAATTATTAATTAATATAAAATGTGTTACGAAGTTGAATTTGAAAGTTGCCAAAAATCTTGCATAAAGCTAGGTGTAAATTTCTCATTGTCACAAGGTTTAGCGCTTTATCTCTAACTCTACCAAAAATTATTCTACTTGATTCCTTTTCTATGTCAACAGCACTTTATTGATTATTTGAGATCATTTCACTATGGGCCAGAAATGGAAAATTTTTCCAAAAATTATTTCTACAGCTTATATGATAGTCCTTATTCTGCCCTACATTTACGTCCTTAAAACTTTGCCCAAGTCGACAGCATGTTCGAGATATGGCACTTCAAAGTTGGTCAGACGACCATTTTCACGTTACATTGAAAATGCTCTCACCAGTTACTAGATGGATGAATCTCCTTCAAATTTTTTTTGTTAATAGCTTTAAATAGTTCCTTTATTTTAAGGTATAAACAATTGCAAATAACTTTGGAAAATTTTGTGAAAAACTTGATTTTTCTCAAAAACCACGTGTTCGTCATACTTTCGTTTGTGTAGTTCTTCACAAGCACTACCAAAGTTACTAATTTCTTTTTTATATTAAAGATTACATCAAAAGCTATAACTTTTGCATACATGTCGTATAATTTTAACAAAGTTTTGATAGTGAAAAAAAAATTTTTTATAAAAAAAACACCAATTTTTTGACAAAAATCGCTGTAGTGCTTCAGGGATACCCATGGTAGTGGAATTTTATTTCACATTTAAAAAGCTCTCTAGATATGCTATCAATTATTGCAATAAAATGAACAAGTGTTCTCTTGGCAAAGAGCACTTTTTTGACTCTGAAAGTCGTATGTCGAGCAAGGTCAAAAAAGAAAAATAATCATAAATATTTCAGTTTTAAATAAAATTTAATTTTTTTAAGTTAAATTGATAGATCTTTTCAAAACGCGTCTTTTGAGTATAAATATGTCATAGTTTTGTCAAGTTTCATAGTAAATTTTTTGAAAAAATGGTTTTTTTAAAAAAAAAAAATGGAAAATAAATTATTTCGCTTTAGAATTTCATAAAATGCATTCTTTTTATCATTTTTTTCACTACTTTGTCTAGTTTTGCTCCTAGTTTTTTTCCTACACCTAAATCAATAAGAACTTAACATAATTGAAGCCGTTTGGAGGTTAAATTGAGTTAAAATCGTTTAAAATTTTTGTATTTCTCAAATAGTTCTTTACACAAGTATCTAAGATATAAAGTGTTGCATAGTTTTGAAAAGGTATTGAAATTTCCAATATGTTAACATGAAAAGTTTAGGAAAATTTTCAAGTAATATAGTCAATTTGGGTAAAAAACGCATTTTATATATGCTAGTTTTTAATGTTTTTCGTTTTTCTCAGCAAAGACTTTATGAAAAACTCTCAAAGTTTGCACACTTATTTGTTATATAAATGTTAATGACTCGTATAAGTTTTGGAATTTTCCATTAAGTTTTTCATGAGTTCTCCAAATCTGAAATTTTCAATATTAAAAATTCATTTTTCTCAATAATTGCGATTTTTTATTTATAAATAAATATCTTATTTTGTTTCATTTTTCAATATCTTTTCATTGATATGTAACAATCTACAAAAAAATTAAGACTAAAGAGAAATGAATAAAAAAGTGTCAAAAATGTATGAAAATTCTACGCTATTTTAATTTTTTAAGCCTTTTATGGTTAATTTTACTAAGTTTTATAAGAGTGTTATACCTTTTTTTGCAAATGTATAGCGAGACAAAAGACAGTTCCATATGAAGAAAACCAGATATTAATTTTAATGCTATTTGAGCTATAATAATAAGCTTTTTCATTTAGTTTTGTTATAAATGTTTCATGTATTTAATAGCAGCCTGAAGATATAATTCAAAGCTTTTAAATAATTTGATTTTAAAAAATTCAAAATTTTTGGTTGCGCCAACGTGAAGCTTATTTAACTTCAGTTGTGCTTATCGTAAAGTCATACGAATTTTAGTGGATGAAAGCAGATGAAAGTCTTAAGCTATAAATTTGCAAAAAGGTATAACACTCTTACAAAACTTAATAAAATTAACCAGAAAAGGCTAAAAAATTAAAATAGCGTAGAATTTTCATAAATTTTTGACACTTTTTTTTATTTATTTCTCGCTAGTCTTATTTTTTTCGTAGATTGTTATATATCAATGAAAAGATATTGAAAAATGAAACAAAATAAGATATTTATTTATAAATAAAAATCGCAATTATTGAGAAAAATGAATTTTTAATATTGAAAATTTCAGATTTGGAGAACTCATGAAAAACTTAATGGAAAATTCCAAAACTTATACGAGTCATTAGCATTTATATAACAAATAAGTGTGCAAACTTTGAGAGTTTTTCATAAAGTCTTTGCTGAGAAAAACGAAAAACATTAAAAACTAGCATATATAAAATGCGTTTTTTACCCAAATTGACTATATTACTTGAAAATTTTCCTAAACTTTTCATGTTAACATATTGGAAATTTCAATACCTTTTCAAAACTATGCAACACTTTATATCTTAGATACTTGTGTAAAGAACTATTTGAGAAATACAAAAATTTTAAACGATTTTAACTCAATTTAACCTCCAAACGGCTTCAATTATGTTAAGTTCTTATTGATTTAGGTGTAGGAAAAAAACTAGGAGCAAAACTAGACAAAGTAGTGAAAAAAATGATAAAAAGAATGCATTTTATGAAATTCTAAAGCGAAATAATTTATTTTCCATTTTTTTTTTTTTAAAAAAACCATTTTTTCAAAAAATTTACTATGAAACTTGACAAAACTATGACATATTTATACTCAAAAGACGCGTTTTGAAAAGATCTATCAATTTAACTTAAAAAAATTAAATTTTATTTAAAACTGAAATATTTATGATTATTTTTCTTTTTTGACCTTGCTCGACATACGACTTTCAGAGTCAAAAAAGTGCTCTTTGCCAAGAGAACACTTGTTCATTTTATTGCAATAATTGATAGCATATCTAGAGAGCTTTTTAAATGTGAAATAAAATTCCACTACCATGGGTATCCCTGAAGCACTACAGCGATTTTTGTCAAAAAATTGGTGTTTTTTTTATAAAAAAATTTTTTTTCACTATCAAAACTTTGTTAAAATTATACGACATGTATGCAAAAGTTATAGCTTTTGATGTAATCTTTAATATAAAAAAGAAATTAGTAACTTTGGTAGTGCTTGTGAAGAACTACACAAACGAAAGTATGACGAACACGTGGTTTTTGAGAAAAATCAAGTTTTTCACAAAATTTTCCAAAGTTATTTGCAATTGTTTATACCTTAAAATAAAGGAACTATTTAAAGCTATTAACAAAAAAAATTTGAAGGAGATTCATCCATCTAGTAACTGGTGAGAGCATTTTCAATGTAACGTGAAAATGGTCGTCTGACCAACTTTGAAGTGCCATATCTCGGACATGCTGTCGACTTGGGCAAAGTTTTAAGGACGTAAATGTAGGGCAGAATAAGGACTATCATATAAGCTGTAGAAATAATTTTTGGAAAAAATTTCCATTTCTGGCCCATAGTGCATTTATAGTAAATTCTCATTAGTATCATTATGTAATCCACAAATCTTCCGGATAGATAGCACTCATTAATTTAGTGGGTTTGAAAAATTTAATGGACATGATTGTGACTTATTTATCCGTTCCTAAAATTATGTTCTTGACATACCTGTATGACCATTATTTGTTACTGTCGTACTTAAAGGTTGCGTATCGAAATTTTCAAAACTTAAAGGTGGCAATTTGACCTTCTTTACGTGCAGCATGTCAATGTCAATTGGTGATTGATGCTTTCCCTTACATGTTGCGTAATCATCCTCCCAATGCGATGGACCTTTTGTTTATATAAACAGCAATGAGAGGAAGCTAATAAGATTTTTAGATCATGTTTATTTACCCTTAGTTCCATCGTATGAAAAGTCAGCAGTTGCTGTGTGTATAAGCATTTACAGAAAGGAATTGATGAATATTTTTGCATATAATAATATTATGGGTCAGTGTTTATTTTTGGAAACCGGAAGGATTCCTTTATAGCTGAACATACATTGACCGGATTTGGATGATATTTTTTTTTTAATTTTTGTTCTTCCTGATAGAGCAGTGTCTTTAAAATTTACTTCATTTTTGGTGTCGTGTGGGAGCAGAGAATAATCTGGGATATTAAGGAGACTCTAGGAAGTTCAGAAACTTTTGCTTTTAGCATCTTAAAGCACAATGCATGATCGAAATATTGTCTGAATTGAAATTTTTGATAACTTTGTGCTCAGGAATAGTTTAAACAACTTATTAAGGGTTCGGGAAGGAATTGAAAATTTATCTTATCGCTGGAAGTTTCCTGAGTATGTTTATTAATCTGCCAATACAAGAAGAAGGCTTCTTAAGAATAAACCGAAAACTATGTATGAGAATATGAGTTCGATTCTTAAATCTATAAGTTGCTAAATGAATTTCAATACAAGAATTAGTAAACAGAACTGCGCTTAGTTGTCTATATAACAGTTCAAATCGTTCAGCACATCTTTAGATAAGGACATTGATAATTTTTATACCAGAAATGGTAATTTTTGAGGTATATACCCAAACAATCGAGTCTAGACAATTTCAATCAAGGTTAATATTATTTTAAATTGTCTCTAAATAATTGTACCTCCCACAAAAAACAGTGATTCACTTCCTATCTAATTTATAGAATTAAATAATATTTTCATAACATATTAATTTGGTCAATTTCGGTAGTATTATTGCCACATGATAAACTTTTACCGACACTGTCAATCTCTCGGCATTCAAACATCGACAGTTTCCTTTAATATTTCAAACCCACCAATTGCACAAATGACGAGTATAATTCCAACTTTCAAATGCATAGCTTGCAATTAATTAAAATTTCACAATGACAAAATCAATTTCCTTCAATTTCAGCCTTTACTATTCAATTACTTTTTACGATGTTAACTCATCACATGAAAGAAGCAAACTGAATGCTTTGGACGATGTTTTAAGTCATAAAATATTGTCAGCTTTTTTTTTGTGTTCTTTGACTACAATACATTAACATTGTTGCTGTTCGAGACGAGAAAAAAAATTAATTAAATTTACAGCGACATCGATTTGCTCGATTTATGTTTATGAATCTGGTCTTATCTGGTCTACAAATTTTGAATGATTTCATAAAGTTTATGAAATATTTCACCGACAAATTCACGATTGCTTTGGAACCGCTATAAGAAAGTAAATTATGACTATTTGCTATCTCTATCAGTACATGCAATAAATTGTAAAATCACATGTCATATGTTCATTTTCACATTATTGGTCATTTCGTGTTTGGACTTAACCTGTCGAACAATTAATCTGTAAATGAAAGAATTTGCATAATTTTATGGATGGGAAATGTCTATTAAAAATTCAGTTCATGTATGATTTAATGCTGCACTTTGCTATGGATGAATAATTAGCTTAGAGTAAAGCGATTAGTGTGATTTAGTTGATTAACTTGTCATGGATGGGACGTAGTCAGAATGTAATACTCCTTAGCCTTATTCTGAGATTTTTTTGAACTAAAATGAGATTTAAACTCGTCTGTTTTTGAAAATGTAACGTAAATAACAATTATACATGCTCAATTATCCAACTGGATACGTCTCTGCATCATGCATTTGCATGTTTATTTTAATCCATTTGGAATTAAGCAAATCGTTAATTTAATTGGATATCTTGATTGTTTTATACAAATGCCTTTGATTCAACTTAATGTGTCACTTTGTAATTATTGACGAAGTCAGAAAGGAGTTCAAGAGTGTCCAGAACTTTTTCAATCATATGCAAAAATTACTATCGAAAAACAAAGAAGCAATAAAAGAGAATAAAATTAAAGCTCTAGAGACCTTTTCCCAAAAACATTATCTTCTGGCTACGTCTCTGCTTTGTATGTATTAAAAGAAGATTATTGCTAACTGAAAAGACTACTTGTTGTGATTTAAAAATAGAAGCGTTAATTTTTGGACATTTTTAGCTTCTTCTTAATTATGAGATTTACGTTTAGTCACATGCGGTGACGATTTTTTTTTTTGTTTAAATAAATCATTGCTTCTTTGTCATATAACTGATTTTGACTAGTATCGATTCTTTAAAATGACCTTTATAAACTGTTGACATGCTCAATATTCTTTTTATTGGATATGGTACCATTCAGTATTGGACTTGTTCTAAAATGTCTAAAAATCTAATAATTTTTGAGTACACTCCTGAAATTAATGCTGATCATTGACCTTTCTTTGCTATCTTCTGTTGTCTAGCTATCTTAAGAACAATAAAGCTTTATATTTCGCACTAATTATCATAATCTTTACACAATGTTTATGAAACATTTATGTGAAATCACCAGACGGTTTATAAATAAGCTATTGCTGAAGGTCAGCATTGTGTGTATCTCTGGTATGTCGCAAAAAAATTATTTCATGGACAAAAAAAGGTGAATAGGAACAAGCTTTGGGCAAAATATTAAATCTGCAAAAACAAAATCATGATCAGAGTTCATTCTTAGCTTTGTCGTTGAGGAATATTAGTGTGCATTCAAAAAGTTTGAAATTCTGCTATCAGTGTTAATTAAAAGGACAGTTGCTTCAGACATAAGTGACAAAAATCGTGTAAAAAAGGAAAAGAAAAAGTGGATAATACAGCACGTCATCAAAAAATGTGATCAAGATCATCAATTGTGACAAATTGAAGATGATGTTAAACAAAACCATGTGACGAAATAATTTTTTGTCTAAAATAGTCTGATATTGTTGTGGATTGAAGCAATATTGCATAATGAATGAAGCTTTAGACTAGCAACCTAATGATCAGCATTAAAACACTTCAAACAAAAAAAAGGCAACAAATGGCCCAAAATAAAATATAAAGTGTCTGTAAATATCCTTAAGAAGTAAGTGATCTTGACCTTTGCATCATATTTTCATTAGTAAATGATTAAGCAGACTTCTGAAAAATATTCTAAAAAAGGCATCCATAATCCTCAATCAATGTAATTTATTTTATTAAACTTCAGATTACATTTTCCATAGCATTTCATTTCATGTTTAAATAAAAATGTAGGATTTCCTTTTCAAATTCAAGAAGAATGCTTTCTTTTCCTTAAACTTTGTCCATTTCAATTTCGACAAAAAAAAATCTGCCTAAATTTCAATGTCATTTACTTTATTTTGCGTCTTAAAATATTTTTGTTGACTTTTGTTATTCATAGATTTGTAGAGTATCAATATTTATGCTTTCTGTATCACGTTTGCTAGTTACATAAATTGAATGACGTTTTAAAAAATTGTTTTATAATTCTATAAATGGTTGTTAACCAGGGAAAAGGTGAGGTAGAAGTAAACAAAAGAGATTTTTATTTTAAAAATCAAATTTTCAATTTTTTGGCGGAAAAGCTTTTATTGTCTTCATTTCGTTGATTTAAAAAAATCTCAATTATTAATTGTTTCTACGCATTAGCTTTAACATCCCTGACTCTGTCCTTTAACATCTCTGACTTTGCTGCAATGAAACATTCATCCTTTAAATTCAAGTGCTTTATTATAATAAATTTCATTGAAATGAATTTAATTTTGGAATAAAGCTGCTTAAAAATAGGACGAATTTTTTTTCTTTTGCTCTTACGAAACTATAAAATAAAATAATATAAAGGAATAAGTTTTTACATTGTTGTATAACGCATGTATTTTAATAATTAAATGGAAAAACTTTGCCAAATCTCCAAGGAAGTTCATCGTTTATAAAGCTTCAATTCATTTATTCCTTTATATAATCACAAGTGGAAACATTTTTCGGTGAACTTATTTGAATTGTTGCTGAAATCCCAAAGCACATTTTACATTTTACGTCTGAACAGCAACTTTTTCAATTAAATTGAAACTTAGAACTTTTTTTTTTGGATATAATTCGTCTAACGATATCGTCCGTTATTTCAGTTTGCTGTTTTCTGTTGAGCTGTAAAGATTGAAATTTGGAAAATAAATGTTGAGTGTAAAAAGGAAGTGAGACATATCAGTTAGCATGTAGTTCTGGAGGATACATGTGTCATGTGTATGTAGAAATTTATTTCTTATGTTTGTCTTGTTGTATCGTTTGTAAAGATAATTAAAATCAGTTCTAAGTATTAAGGAACACAAATATAACTCATTTGGCAGTATCAGGTTGAAGAAAAAGAGTAAAGTCCTTTGAGAGTTGGATCCTTTTTGAGACCAAGGTTTCTCATGCTTACTTTAAGGTATATCCCTAAGTAAATAGGATGTGAATTAGAAAAGGTAGAATGTGTACGCATCCTGTACAAGCAATTAATGAAAATTAATTCCAAGAAGTTTCGTCGTATCCAAAGTGATATTCCAAAAGGTTACGGAATCTTTAGTTTAAGTTTGTACAATTTGAATCTATGTGTGGGGTGTGTTGTTGGATATACCCTAGAGTTTGTGGTTTTAAAGAGATGAAATAATGATCCAGAGTTACAATAAGCACATCTGTGATAAAAACAATTGTTTTTTGAAAACTTTCTTCATGCCAAACCTAATAAATTAAATTAATATTAACAAGAAAGAATCCCATTCGAAACTTTTTCTTATGCTTCTTTTTATCAGTGTCGATTATAACGCAAAAAGTCGTTAGTATGGCATTCACGTCTTTTGGATTGTTTTATGATCTACACTAAATATACTTTCATTTTCAATAACCCCCCAAGTCTCTCTTACTATGCCTTATTGTTCTCTCATTATTCTCTCACAATGTCAGCTGAGAGAATGTTGAAGGCAGAGTGAAATGGAGAGAACGCTATCACATGGAAATTCGAGATGCAACATCCAAAATGGAACAAACATTGAATGGATGAAATTATCTGCAGATCCTTACTGTAACAGTCCTCTCGTGTCGTTAGACAAATAAATACCATTCTTGAGATTGGTAAAGTAACAGTTAGTGACTTTCTATACAGGAAGGAAATGGAATAAAATTCCGAATATACATATATATTTTTTAGACACTCAATGATGAGTAAGACTTTCTCAGAATAACTCGGAATGTGATGTAACTTGACAGTGAATATTTTTGTATGGTTAAATATAATTAAGTTTAAGTAGAACTCAATCTGTACATAAAGGAATAAAAATGTGTAAAAATTCTAAAGTGACTCGATACATAGCTAAGGAATGTGTTTAGCTACAAAAAATTTTTTGTATAGTTGTGACCATAGAGATTGTACAGATAACAGAAAAAAAGGGATTATTTGACATATTTTTAGATTATTTATTTATTCAGTGATGCTTAACAGATATATTTACTTATGAATATCCTTTTCAAGACATTTTCATGGCGACATGCTTTTGGACACGCAAATCTCGAAATAATTTTCGGAAGTCAAATGTAATAATGATAAAAAAAATCATGTAAATGTTGTTCCATAAAAATGAATGAATTTTTGAGTGATGTTTTCATATCTGAAAATGAAGCTTTCAAGCTATTATGAGGATTAACGTTAATCTATGGAGACGAAAAACTCGTAAATTAAGAACAATAGTGCATTTAATAGTGAATTTCGTAATTAAATTTTAATGAATTTACATCAACAATCTTGTTCGCTGCAGATTCTGTAAACACTCTGGAAAAGTTGACTCTAGGAAAAAAGTGAAAAATCCTTCAAAATGTAAAAAAAAAATTGAAAAAAGTTAAACAATAAAAGTTGATTTTGTCTATAACTATAATACCTACAAAAAAAAAAAACAAAATGTGCAAGACTCATGCTGTAAAAATATGTGATACAAAGAGAATTAATTAAAAAAAGTTAAAATCAGCTTTGTTAATTGAAAAATGCAGTGACAAAATAAAAGGAGAGATTCCAAACAAAAGTAATTTTCTATGATAACAATTCTTTGTGCTT